TATCCACATTCACAACAGCAGAAACATTCGCAACAGCAGAAACATCCGCAACAGAAACATGCACAACAACAGAAACATGCACATCTGCAACAGCAGGAACATCCACAGCAACAGAAATATGGACATTTGCAACGGCAGAAACATTCACATCTGCAGAAATATCCACATCTGCAAGAGCAGAAATATGAGCATCTGCAACGGCAGAAACATCCACATTTGCAACAGCAGAAACATGCGCAACAACACAAACATGCGCAACAGCACAAACATCCACATCTTCAACAGCAGAAACATCCACAGCAACGGACACATCCGCAAAAGCAGAAATATCCGCATCCACAACAGCAGAAACATCCACATCGCCAAGAGCAGAAATATCCATGTCCGCAATGGCAGAAACATCCACAGCAGCAGAAAAATCCACATTCGCAATAGCAGAAACATGCACATCTGCAACAGCAGAAACATGCACATCTGCAACTGCAGCAGAAACATCCGCAAGAGCAGAAATATCCACAACAGCAGAAACATCCACATCAGCAAGAGCAGAAATATGCATATCCACAATGGCAGAAACATCCACATCTGCAGCAGCAGAAACATCCACATCTGCAAGAGCAGAGATATGAGCATCTGCAACGGCAGAAACATTTGCAACAGCAGAAACATGCGCAACAGCAGAAATATCCACATTCGCAACAGCAGAAACATCCACATCTTCAACAGCAGAAACAATCACTGCAAAAGTCACTAAAGGCAAAAGCAGCCAAAGAAGTTTGGCCAGTTCCAAGCAACAGTTCAGGAGCAACAATCGTTCGTAAGCAACTAGAAGAAAGAGTAAATCAGCTGGAATCAGAAATTGAAAAAAAACAGTATCTCTGTAAATGAAGCACTTGAGAACGAAACAGCAGAAACATCCGCAACAACAGAAACATGCACATCTGCAACAGCAGGAACATCCACAGCAGCAGAAATATGGACATTTGCAACGGCAAAAACATTCACATCTGCAGAAACATCCACATCTACAAGAGCAGAAATATGAGCAACGGCAGAAACATCCACATTTGCAACAGCAGAAACATGTGCAACAGCACAAACATGTGCAACAGCAGAAACATCCACATCTTCAACAGCAGAAACATCCACAGTAACGGACACATCCGCAAGAGCAGAAATATCCGCATCCACAACAGCAGAAACATCCACATCGCCAAGAGCAGAAATATCCATATCCGCAATGGCAGAAACATCCACATCTGCAACAGCAGAAACATCCACACCAGCAGAAACATCCACAGCAGCAGAAAAATCCACATTCGCAATAGCAGAAACATGCACATCTGCAACAGCAGAAACATCCACATCTTCAACACCAGAAACATCCACAGCAGCAGAAACATCCGCAAGAGCAGAAATATCCACAACAGCAGAAACATCCACATCAGCAAGAGCAGAAATATGCATATCCACAATGGCAGAAACATCCACATTTGCAGCAGCAGAAACATCCACATCTGCAAGAGCAGAGATATGAGCGTCTGCAACGGCAGAAACATTTGCAACAGCAGAAACATGCGCAACAGCAGAAATATCCACATTCGCAACAGCAGAAACATCCACATCTTCAACAGCAGAAACAATCACTGCAAAAGTCACTAAAGGCAAAAGCAGCCAAAGAAGTTTGGCCAGTTCCAAGCAAAGCACCACTTACTGCTACTGGCAAAGAAAGGTTGGTTGCAACAGTTCAGGAGCAACAATTGTTCGTAAGCAACTAGAAGAAAGAGTAAAGCAGCTGTAATCAGAAATTGAAAAAAAACAGTATCTCTGTAAATGAAGCACTTGAGAAAGATCTTTTGGACATATATGCTAACAACAATTCAGAAGTGACACCTCATATGAAAGTGTTTTGGGAACAACAAAGAAATTAAGTTACTTGGGCAGTGAGGGTTCTAACGGGTGCTAATTATGAGTCTCGGTCGATTAACTCGCTCTTGTGGGACACTCTTGAAAATAAACGTTCTGGTGCCAAGTCAGTATTGACGTATAAAATACATAATGACCACACTGCGCCGGCTCTTCGGGGGTCTTTTGTGGGAAGAGAAATGGATCAAACTAATTACAATCTCTGCAATACTGCAACAGGCCTTACATTACCTAAGCCAAAAAGAGAACTTTTGAAAAAAAGCTTTAAATATAGTGGTGCTTTGCACTGGAATCAGCTCCCAAATGAAGCGAAACTAGCAAGTTCTCTTCACTCGTTTAGATGCATACATTTGATGCAAATGATGCATACATTTGTATATAGAAAAGTGTGTATATATAGTATTTAGATATATTTATTTATTTTCAAACATTTTTAATATTTAACACGCCCCTCATGCAAATCAGCCCAGAGTTAATGGGGCTAGCGTGTTCCTTTTTTGTTAATTTTAAATAAAGTATTGCCTGCCTGCCTTGCTAGTCAGAAGTTTGGAAGAAGATATCCCCACGTCATACGATTTTGTCTTTCCTTGCATGCAAAGTCACCAGCAGCATATAAGGGGCTAAAGAATTCTGGAATTTTGGTTTTGCCAAGTCAGAGAACATTACAAGACTATCGTAATTTTTTCAGGGCTAAAAGAACATTCAAAGGACTACTTTGACATTCAAAGATATGTCATGCTAAGCTTCGATGAGATGAAGATTCAGTCAAAATTAGTGTTTGACAAACAGACTAATGAGCTAATTGGCTTTGTTGACCTTGGCAAAGGAAAAATTGAATGAGGCTTCTGTTTCGTTAAATGACAGAAAGCCCACAAACCAGCTACAACGTACTTCGATTTATTTAGCCAACTAGTAAAAAACCTATATACAAAATATTTACTTGGCTTAAATAGGCTACTAACTAATTATACATCCATGCAAATATTTTCTTGAATGTTTTTTATGAATATTGCAACATCCTCCCTTTCATAGAAAAAGAGATTCTATCGTTATTGTCTATTTATCTGATAAATAAGTAAACGTTTATGATCCCACTAGGTACTATAATCGTCCAAATACTTCGGTCTTTGACTAATTCTACCACTCCGCGTTCGAGTGATTATATTGTCTCTCATGTCACCAGACAGCATACCAGACTCAGTACTGCTTTGGACGCCTCGATCTGGATCAGGAATAAGCTCGGGAATAGGATCTGTTTCTCCATCAAACCCGCTTGATCCCCGCTCGGCAACTTCAGGTGTTTTAGGTAATTCTTGGATCTGTTGATAATCATCGCCATTTGCAGATCTTGATTTTGCTTCCTTCAAATGTCTTCAATTCCGAATAGATGTTCGGTCATTCTCTGTTTCGACTTCATAGGACCTGATACCCGCTTCTCTTAAAACGGTTTTCTTCCATTCTCGATCCCCAACTTTGACTGGCTGTATCCATACTTGGTCACCTGCAGCCAATGCTGGTAAATCTCTTGCTTCTCGGTTGTAAAATTTCTTCTGTCGTTCTTGACGCGCTCTTCTTTGCTGTTTCGTGTTTTCAATAACTGCTGGTTTTAGCAAACCTTTCGAAATTGGCAAAACAGTTTCGGTCCGCCTGCTCATCAATCGCTGTGCTGGGCTTGAACTGAAACCTTCTTGAGGAGTATTTCTGAGGTCCAACAAAGCTAAATGTGGGTCTCGTCCAGACATCTTGGCTACTTTCAGGACTCGTTTAGCTTGTTTAACAGCATTTTCGGCCATTCCATTTGCCTGATGATAATGCGGGCTAGTCATGGTATGCTTCATTCCATAACTCGCACAGAAATTCTTGAATTCTCCAGAGGTAAACTGAGGACCTTGATCACTTATTAATTCTTCAGGAATGCCATACCGTGCCAAGTGCACCATGAGCTTTCGAATAACGGATACGGCCTTCGTACTGTAGAAGCGGTCAATCTCGAAAAAAATCGAGAAATAATCAACTGTTACCAAATACTCCTTGCCATCGAACTCGAACAAATCTGTGGCGATCTTTCCCCATGGCCGGTCAGGAACTTCGTGACTGATGAGTGTTTCTTTTGATTGCTTAGGCCCAATACTACAACATAAGTCGCATTTTTTCACATAAGGCCAATGAAGATTGATATCTTCTTTCTCGTCCCCGCCCGCATGGGATTTATCTGCCGCACGAAAAATTTTCATTATTCATTATTTTTGAAAAATAAGCTTAAAAAACAACAAATTCATCTCCAGATCAAAGTCTTATTGCTGCATTCCGCAAGCGCAACTCAAATTGTATCTTTCTAAAGATATTACTCGCCAGAATGCCTCTATTTTTCATGTCAGCCCTGGTATGTAAAGAAATATACAGTAGTCTGTAGATTGTAGTGTAGGACGTATTCAATTAAAATGAATTATACACCAAGTTTTAGTACTTCAGATTTTTATGGGCTTTTTTACTGGGTCAAGGAAATTATTGACAAGCAGAATTCAAATACAAAAAATAATTAAAAATGTAAAATGAAAAAATTCCGCTCCAAATTTTTGAAAATTGTGGACGAGAAACATGATATCAATTTTCATTGGCCTAATCTTTGATCTACGCATTCATATTTGGCCAGTACATGGTTTCTCTCGCCCTTCTCAGAGTTGCATCGATCCCTTGGTGACTGGCATGAAGACTTTCCATCATTGTCTTTCGATATGCCTTAGGAATAACTAGTCGATCACCGCAAAATATCAGCCGATCTTGGACCACCAATTCATCACGGATATAAAAGTAGGACCCCACTGCGGCTGGCAGGTTCTTCATATTATAACCACAGGCCATCCGGACTGTATGACTCTCTTTAACACCTGCAAATCTTCATCTTGATCTGTTTTATCTCGATACATGTTAGCAACATCTTCACTCGCCAACAATTGGTTGATCTCCATGATTTCCTCATGCTCTCCCTGCTCTATCTCCACATCTGACAAGTAATTCAGAACATTTGCTTCTCCGGTCTCTTGTACCGCTGTCAGATAGTGTCTACTTAGCGTATCTGCAAGATATAATTCAGTTCCTCTTTTGTATCTCACACTCAGGTCATACATTTGTAGCCGCATCAACATTCTCTGTAATCGTCTGGGCACAGAAACGAGAGGCTTCACAAATATGGTTTCCAATGGTTTGTGGTCAGAGTCAACGCATACTGGTCTTCCAAATGTGTACTGATAAAATCGTTCTGCCGCGAACACAATCGCCAAGAGTTCCTTCTCAATTTGAGCGTAATTACGCTCAGTCGAATTGAGTGCTCGACTTGCATAAGCTATTGGTCTGTCATCTTGCAATAAAGCAGCCCCAAGTCCCCCTTCGCTTGCATCACACTGTATGACCAATTCTTTCTCAGGTTGTAGAACTTGAGTAAAGGCAATCAATTTGAGCATAATTACGCTCAGTCGAATTGAGTGCTCGACTTGCATAAGCTATTGGTCTGTCATCTTGCAATAAAGCAGCCCCAAGTCCCCCTTCGCTTGCATCACACTGTATGACCAATTCTTTCTCAGGTTGTAGAACTTGAGTAAAGGCAATCAATTTGAGCATAATTACGCTCAGTCGAATTGAGTGCTCGACTTGCATAAGCTATTGGTCTGTCATCTTGCAATAAAGCAGCCCCAAGTCCCCCTTCGCTTGCATCACACTGTATGACCAATTCTTTCTCAGGTTGTAGAACTTGAGTAAAGGCAATCAATTTGAGCATAATTACGCTCAGTCGAATTGAGTGCTCGACTTGCATAAGCTATTGGTCTGTCATCTTGCAATAAAGCAGCCCCAAGTCCCCCTTCGCTTGCATCACACTGTATGACCAATTCTTTCTCAGGTTGTAGAACTTGAGTAAAGGCAATCAATTTGAGCATAATTACGCTCAGTCGAATTGAGTGCTCGACTTGCATAAGCTATTGGTCTGTCATCTTGCAATAAAGCAGCCCCAAGTCCCCCTTCGCTTGCATCACACTGTATGACCAATTCTTTCTCAGGTTGTAGAACTTGAGTAAAGGCA